CAGGTCAGAATAGTTGGTGTGTTCGTAGGTCAGGAGAGTTGGTGTGTGTTAGTTGGTGTGTGTTCGCAGGTCAGGATAGTTGGTGTGTGTTTGTTGGTGTGTGTTCGCAGGTCAGGTTAGTTAGTGTGTTTTAGTTGGTGTGTGTTCGCAGGTCAGGATAGTTGGTGTGTGTTAGTTGGTGTGTGTTCGCAAGACGGCTTTCCAGATAAACCTCTAGAGATTCGAGGAGGCGATATCTTTTGGATTTGTGAAATGACATCCACATACATGCCGCAGGACCGACACAGTCCTACGCAGCAATTTCAAACATGCGAAGGACTGGTAGTGAGACATTGGTATGGTGTTAGGGTTTAGCTAAACCCTAAAACCCACCCTATTGTGCATGGTACGGCGGTGTACATCACATTCAACAGTTTAGAAATACCTTAGGTACAGAATGGATTGCGGGATCCCGATATCGTTTCCAATCGAGTACAACGACTTCATCTTCTCCATATACCTACCACACACCAACGACGGGAGAATAAACGGAGTGAGCAACGTGTTTCAATACAATCACAAGTGCGTTAAAGCTTTGGAAGGTGTTCGTAGCCAAAGGCGATACTCTGTATGCGAATACTTTCAGACAAGAGAACGGCAGTGAAAGTCAAGGCACTACACTCATCCGCACAAGGGACACACCACAGCACTAAACAAATGACAACACACAAAAGGTATCACCAGATAACACAGAACAATCTAGATATAACACACAACACCACAGCACTAAGCAAATGACAACACACAAAAGGTATCACCAGATAACACAGAACAATCTACACACAACACACAGCAGCACAGCATTAAACTATTGACAACACACAAAGGGTATCACCAGATAACACAGAACAATCTACATACCCCACAAAGCACCAAAAGCCATCGGCCTCGTTCTCACAGATCTGCAGCACTGGCGCCAGAAGGTCAGACATACCCTGGACATAGCCCAGCTCAGGACAGTGTGTGGTGTACGTCACCAGTATCTCCACCATGATGGCTAAGTTGGGGTTGTTCTCACCGATCATGAATGTGCTGGTCCTGTCTGTGCGCACCACATCCTTCTCTGTGGTTGGAGAGAGTAGTGTTGAGTGGGTGAGTGTTGAGTGGGTGAGTGTTGAGTGGGTGAGTGGGTGAGTGTTGAGTGGGTGAGTGGGTGAGTGTTGAGTGGGTTAGGAGTGAGTGTGTGTGTGCACTACATCCTTCTCTGTGGTTGGAGGCAGTAGCACAGCACACACAGCACACAAAAAACACACAACACACACAACACACAAAACACACAAAACACAACACTCACACCACACACTACACACACAATAAACACTACACACACAATAAACACAACACACACAACACACATAACACACACTACACAGCACACACACAACACACACAACATACACAACACACACAATGAACACAACACACAACACACACCACACACATAATACACAATACACAACACACACAACACACAGCACACACACAATACACAACACACACAACACACACAACACAATTGCACCGACCGATCATCTCGCGCTCAGCCATGACACTGTCGCGCTCGTCGTCGTCGAGTGCTTCGCCGTTGTTGATTAGCCATCGGCCTTTGAGTGCCCAGTACTCCTCTCGCTTCTCTCGGCTTATGCGTCTGCGCGTGCCACAATCAGAGCCAAACGGATGCAATCCCAGAAGAATCCTGTTGTGGCCATGCACAGGCAGATGAGAAGGGCACATGGGCTGTGTGTGGTGGTACTGTTTTGGGTACCAGAGCGATATGTCAACTCAACAATCAGGGTACAGCGCAAGTGGGAGATAAAAACATAACTGCAAATAGTGAGGATGGAAATAACCAACCACACAATAGGAAAGTTCTGGAACGTAAAGCTTCAACAGACCTGGTAAACGTGTGTGAATGGGTTGAGTGCAAATTGAGAGGTTATATATATACATATACATATAAATATAAATATACATATACATATACATATA